CCCCCCCCGCCCCCCCGTCACCTGTTTTGTGAGAGAAGTTTTGCTTTTAACGTGGTTAAACTGGGAAACTTCGTATTTTCCAGTAGGTCGAGGCAACCCAAAGTCATGAATGAACAGCTGAAGTTCAGCTGGCTGTTCGGTGCAGAAGCAGCAGCTAATCGGCCCTGACAGCCCTGGGTGTACTTTTTCCAAACAATCTGTTAGATAAAAAGTGAACGCCACACGGTGTGAGGATCAGCGGTCTGTTCAGACAATTTCACTACGGCCCTTCTCTGTCTCAGCTGAGCCGTGGAGCCCCCACACTGCACTGCAGAGGAGGCACATGGCTGTGTTGTGGTTTATCTACTCCAAACTTAGTTGTGAGTTTGGTTTAGGTTAAGTGTTTTTATCATTAGAACACAGCATGAGCCAGAACGTTTGCTATTCATTTAAACAGTTGGAACAGAAGATGAGCAAACGGTGTGACCTCATACGTAATGTTTACTCGTAGGGATTTTTCTTAATATTCCTACTCCTGCAAGTGGAGGAATTAATATAACAAAGTACATCCCTAACAAGTTGTTGGTTGTTACATTCATTTTCATGGCAGGGAGGGAGGTATTGAAATTCTCGTATTGCAGAGATCCATCAAGCTTGTGTTGCTTTGGGTCTGTCTTTGGATTGCATAAAAGAATGCACATTTCTCTCTGTAAATAGGTGCAGTGTGATCTAGCTATCTGCAGCAAAAACACTGGGTGGGGAAGGCTCTCTCATCCTAAGAGAACTAATGTTGGATTTGATACTGTGTCCATCATGTAAGTCTAAATCAGGTTTGCATTGAGCTAGTGCCAGTGGATAGTTGCTCTGCTGCACCGCAGTGTACTTGCTTGTGTTGATGGAATTTCTTTCTGTCCTGACCCCAAATAGCATGTGGCCTGACTAAAGGAGGGATGTAACACAAGCAAAATGATCAGAATACCACGTACCCCTCTTATTAGTTATCTGGTTTTAAGCACTAAACTGGAAAAAATGTTACACGTTTATTTGCTTTGTCTGCTGTGATGCTTTTTGTGTATTAGTGATGTTCCTTAAAGTTCCTTCTTGGCTCCAGCATCTTTTGGGGATGGGCAGGCACATCTCCAAGAACTCTGTCAACTAGTGATGTCTACATCAAAAGAAAGCAATACTTGTAAGTGATGTGGAAATCATGAGCTAGCATACATGCCCTTGTAACTACCTGAACTGAATTCCCATCCACCTTATGTTCCCTTTCTTCCACTCCTCCCAGCTTTCTTCCTGTGACAAGTATACCTACCTGAATGGTAGAAGGCAGCTTTTATCAGTTCATGACGCATTTTTCAGTCTCCTTATATTAATAAAAACAGTTAGTGGATGTTATCAATAAAATGCAAATAAACCCTGGACAGTATAGTATGTAATCCTAACCTCCTTATTAAGTGGGAAATACTTTGCTTCCTAAAGAGTTTCTGGTTAGTATGTATCAGCTCTGAAATTCTGTCACTTTTTGATCACACAGATGCTGCTGCTTTTGAAATCAGTTGGCTTCAGAAGCAGCCTGCTCTAGTTACTGAAGTGAGATACGTCATCGAGTGAAACTTGTGTTTGTTTTCTGAACCTGTCTGGAACGTTGCTGATAAAAATTTCTGTCCTGACAAGTTAGACACTCTATTAAGAAAAAAAGGAAAGAAAACCAGTTATTTTTAAAAAGTCATTGTTTTCCTTGGATTTTTGTTTCAGAGGCCTTCTGTTCCTCATCTGACATTGGCCTTCTTGGATACTTTCGATGTATAGAGAAAGGATAATTCTCTAATTCCAGGGTCATCTTCTGGTCCAGCTTTTCATGTACAGTCCTCTTATAAAACTCCTAAGTTAATAGAGTATTAGTTTCTTGCATGAGAGTTTTTATTCTTATGACCTTGTCAGTGAGCTGCTGAGCCTAACAGAGTTCTACTGCAGTATCCAACAGTACTAAATAGAAATGACAAGAATCTACTGAGGGTTTTTATCGGGATCTTGCTTTTTCCACTGACTTTTTTGCTAACCCTTTTACCCCTGTGCATGGTAAGAGTGATCGTGTAAAGTGTATTTGTTTTATTTTACTCACAGAGAGAGAATGTATGTGAAAGCAGTTAGCAAAATTTATGCTCATATTGTTCAACGCTGTTTCACTCTAGAAGATTCTTACTTTGAAAAAATTAACTTTCAGTCATATTTATTGTTTTCAGAAAGCTTTTGAATTTTAGCACAGAAAAATTACTAGGACCTAGTAAATGCCTTTTCTTTGCTTCTGAAATTCCATTTTAATGAGCTATAAACCCATTGTTTGCTGTTTCTTGCATAGTCAGTGTGACTCTGGTTGGTGTATCCAAATATCTCAACATAAACATTTTTAGTGAAGACTGAGTCATATGCCTACCAAAGCAACGGCAATAACTTTCAAAAACAGAGCAGTAAACAAACTCTAATTTGGTTATAAGTTTTTATTTATCTGATGTAATTTTTCCATATCATTAAGTCCATGTGGATGGATAGTAATAAGGTAATGAAACAGCCCTTAAGCATATTTTTGCCCTTGGTATGCAGCTTGTGATTCCTGCTTAAGTCTGCAAACCTCCTAGCTTTGGACACAAGTTAACTTTTGTTATTCCATTATATTCTCTGTAGGAGTGCCCCAGGGATCCACAATCCAGGTGCTAATGAAAAGCATATTGTCATCAATTAGGGAAGGCAGGGAAGAGCCCGGTGCTCTCAGTTGTGAGAAGATGACATTTGATTATTGTCTGATGTAACTCCATCTTCCGCCTAGTTAAAACAGCAGATTCCATGTATTTAAAATAGCAAATGACCTCAGCCTTCCACTAGTTACCAAAACCTTACATCATCCATGGGTAAGGATGCTCTGCAGTAGTTCTGTTGACTTCATAGGGAAAGGTCCTAGACTAGGAAGAGAAATGTTAAGTATTTGAGGAGATTTCAGCTCAGGCCTCTTGATGAATGTCGTCTTTATTCTGTAATGCTGGACAAAGCTTAGATGATACCTCATAAAGAACAGTATGTAGGATCTGAGTTTGTCTGTTCCAGATAGGTTAAACGTAACCTGGATTAGGTGTGGGGAAAGGAGCCATGCTGAAAGGGGGCTGGAGAGCCTGTTGTACGAGAGTTGACTAAACGGGTTTAGCTCATGTAGTCTAGTAAGACTGATTACGATCTATAAATACAGTAGTGGGATAAACGAGAATGAAGCGCTGTTTAAGTCAAAAGAAAAAAAAAGGTAAAGCACCTGTAAATATGTCTGCGCTACATATGAGAAAATGTTTTCCAAAATCTTCCTGTTTCCGTTCTGGGGACAGGAAACCTTACTTCCTTATGCTTTGTAAACTAACGGAAAGAATTTTATAATGTGATACCTGTTGCAGGTGGGGTTTGCAACTGGTGATTCAGGGTGTTCGTTTCAGTCTTTAAGGGATTTATGAATGTATCTTACTACAGCTCCCTATTAGAAGTTGCATTCTCCCCACTTTACAAAGGGGGGAAAATGAGATGACAGGACTTGTCTGATGCCATACATTAAAACAGGTAAAGAGAGACAGAAGAACTAGAAAGTGAGGTCATCCTACTTCTATTCCAGTGTTGTTGCCTATAGGAAAAAGTGCCTTGCTTTTAGAGATATTTGTCATCCAGCAAGAAAATTGCAACCGAAGTATATGGGTGACTTACCCGAATTTTGAAATGTGAGACTTTGGGCAGCTTTCACTGAGGAGCCAGAGAACTAGCCCAGAAATAAGTTGCCGCAAACTGATGTTTTAAATGATTTAAAGGACAGGTACTGGAATTTATTTTACATCGCGATTTTTAAATATACTGAATTTTAGAAGACTTCATAGGCCAAATCATGCTAGATCATTAGTCTGTTGTAGAAGGTCTAATGAAGTTACTTAGCCCTTAATCAAGACTTTAGGTCTTAACTTTTTTGCATTAAATGTTCAGTAACACTTCAGTACTTTTACAAAGTTGCTTGCAAAGCTGTAGAGCTACACAACATTCTGCTTTAACATTTCTAAAAAAAAAAAAAAAATCTTTTTTTATTTGGTTCTTGAATTCCCCTCTCCCATCTAATAGGAGTTTAACGTTTCTGAACTAGGTGATAAATCATCATGAGGATAGTCTGTAAAACTTCTAGAGACACTTTAGTAAAACTGTGCTAAAGGCCATCAGTGATGCTGACTAAACCTAGTATTATAATGTAGCATAGTCCTGTTCAGTATAGTCAAAACCTTTTATATTCTTTCAGCCATTTGCAGGTGTCAAAGAGATGCATTTCTGTAACTGAGGTTTCTTGGATATGTTATAACTGAATGGAATGTTTTGGCAACTGATAAAAGTTTTGGGTTTTAAATATGTTCCATGACATTGTCAGCCTGCAAATGTGATGTAATAAAATATATCGTGGTCTTGTATTCTTAACAGATCTAAATCAGAAAGCATTAATTTATGTTATTCTTTATCGAAATTGGTGGTGCAATGGGAATTTTAATGAGTGTATGTGACCAGTGAGATAAAAGACACTACCTATGGCTTAGGAAGTTTTTGAACTACGAATTGTTGAAGGCCAGAAGAGTATTCTGGGGAAGTGCTAGTGCACGGTTGCTTCCCCCCCCCCCCCCTTTCTTTCGCCCCCCCCCCCCCCCTTTTGCTGTTTCCTAGGCATCTGCTACTGGCCACTGTAAGAGTCGGTGTTCTGGGCTAGGTGGACCTTTGGCATGATTTAGTGGAATTAGTCTGTTACACGGGCAGAGTAAATAATTCTGCAGTATTACCTGAACTTTCCAGTAGTTCATTTATTATGTTGTCTGACTGCTACACTTTGTGATCGTTTCCGGTAGTTTCATTGCTGATATACAGAGAAGTCTGTATTCCTCAAAACAAGCTTGTGTATGTGCTTCCTATCGTTAGTCTTTTCTGGAATTTTTTTGAAGACTGAAAAGACTGCATCATTGCTCTTGAAGCTTCCTTAAAAAAAAATACATAGTATAACAAAACTTGGAAGATTTCAGCTTAAAAGCTACAAAATGTGGAGGCTGACTTGCCAGATTACATTCACAGAGAATGAAAATGTGCTTATATTAGTAACCTTTGTGCTTGCCTAAAATATTATTGTTTTTACTGTTTGCTTTTGTAGCGCTAATTTAACATCATGGCTTTCCAGTTCACTTGAATATGCAGTAGCCCATGCTGTGCTGATGTTCAGTTCACTCACGTTCACTTCTAGAAACTTTTCAGTGAAAATACGTTGGATGAAACAAACACAAATAGGTGGCAATTGGTTATAGTGCTTAGAATAGCTTAGGAGACAAAGGTTGAGAAACACTTCAATTAAGGTCTACTCTTTGGGGCTTTTTTAATGTTTTACATAGCTAGTGCTCCAATATGCTGCTCTTCAGAAGAGTCAAGGCTCTGACTTAAATTAGCCATTGAAGAACTTGATTGGACTTCACCAGTACGGTTGACAAATATTTTAATTAGCTTACTGGATTTCAAAAGACAGCACAAGTTCTTTTATTATGCTTCTCTCTTCTTTAAGGTTGATTTTACATTTTTGTATACTTCTAAACAAGTTACATTGCCAAGTTTGGCTATCTGAATTATTACGCAGTGCACATGAGTATGTACGTATTATATAATGATAGGTGTTTCAGGTGTCACTTTGACTCAAAGCAAACACTCTCTCTCCAGAAAGTTTGTTTCTACAATAAATGTTACAATACCAAATGTATTTGTGCTCCTCTTTTTGGCTGTGATCCTTTGTTTTTTTTCTTTTTTTGAACAAGAATACTCAGGAGATAGTTTAGCAGAGCTGACAGTGAACTTGATGTACATTATATTTAACTTTACAAACTTAACATTAAGCTCTGTTCAGACATAAAGGTTGTAGCTGAGGTGCCGGCTGCTGTTGTATTTTGTTAGATTACTGAACTACAAAGGTGTTAAAGACTTCCAAGTGAGGTAGAGGGGATGGAAGATCAGAGTTCTTGTTCTGCAGAAGCTAGCGTCAGAGCTTGGTTAACTTCTTGCCTATTTACATGCTTTAAATAAAATAAAAAAGTCAAGTCAGCCTGCACTGTCAGTATGCTGCTGATCTACAACACCAGCTTTTTGGAAACTTCAGTTGGTTCAGTAGCTTTGGAGCTAGTGGCAACGCAGGTTTACAAGCAAAGCCTAGCTGCCTGTGGGTTTCACTGGTTATGGTGAAGACTTACCTCTCGCTCAATAACAAGAACACCTCAATGAAGACTAGTCACAGTGATACCTAAGACTTACTTTTCTTGAAGTTCACAGTTGTTTTAAAACTGTTCTTTGTGTAGGCTCTTACATGTTTTGCATGAGATAGTTTAACTCAGCCCAAAGCAATTTTTTAAAACTATATGGTTATAAATTTCTAAGATGATGATGAATGGGTTCCTTATAACTAGCTTTATCTGTTGCATGTGTATAAATTGCATGAGTAAGAAAAATAGCAGTGAAAGGATTACTGAACCTAGTAAAACTGGAATTTAATAGCTGGAGCTTTTTTTTCTTAAAGCAGAGATTGAAATTTACTGCCATCCAGTTGTAAAAGAATTTTTGCGCTTTTAGCAACTTAAAGGTATTGAAGTAAGGCAACAAGCTATATTTCTCTGTCTTATAAATAACCTTATGAATGATACACGAGACCTTACATAAACTTAGATTGAAAGCTCATGAAATAATGTAAATGTAAGGGCAAAAGAAATTAATAGGTTTTTTTTAAAGTACAACATCTATTACTTTTTTTTATTAAGGGAAACAAAATAAGTTAGGTGGAATATATTTTGTTTGTCTCTTTTGTTTTCAAGGTTTGGCTTGAGCAACAAGTTTGATACAGAATTTCCTTCTGTTCTGACAGGGAAGGTAAGTGTGAGATTAAACTGTTCTTTTAAATGGAAAGATCCAGTGCATCCAGTGGTTTCTGTGTTACAAATACGTGCTCATGAATCCGCAGTGCAGGCCAGCACTGCATTGAAGACTGTTGAATTAACTCTGTCCTGTGTGAACTGGCTGGTTGATGACCAGTCCCTACAGTGTACTTTGAAACAAGAAAAAATGACTTGCAGCGATTGCTATCATTGTTGGCATTCTAAACACAGAAAAGCTCAACATGGCATCATACTGTTTTCATGCAGGCAACCTACATGAAAGCAAGACTCGCTTAACCTTGCTCTATAGATATCTGGAGTTTGTGCTACCTCCTGAGTGAATTAAATTATTTCAAATGCTACACCTCTCTTTTTAATATCTGTCAAGCCTTGAGTTTATATTTAGACAGATCCCTGGAAGAGAATCTTGTTTTATCTGAAGCTTTAAGGAACAAAACATTATAGTGTTAAATCTACAAATTAAGTAGGTTTTTAGTACATTTTCAGAAATATAATAATTGTTCTGAAAATTAGTGGTGACAAGTCTCTTGCTTTCTCTGGAGTCCTGTCATCTTACTAAATGCGAGTTTAATAAATATTCATTTGTAGCTATTACTTAATGAAATCTTGTAACAAAATTCTTGGTTATCGTCCTAAATTCTTTTCATAATTGTTTTAGTTTTGGGGTTTTTTTAGACTTTTAAATTTCGAATTCTTTTTCTCTTGGATTTTTTTCTTTCTGCTGTTTCACTCTTTAGTGCTTTTCTTTTGCTTTATTTTATATCCTCCTTATGTATCTTTTCCAGAATTTGTAAGGATAAAGTTTATTTGGCTCTTACTACCTTCTCTAATGTGATACCATACAGCTACACTACCTCTGCAGCCTCTTGCAGTAGCTGTTGAGTCATATTAACAATATACTAAAATGCAGCTGGATGGCGTCTCCTGGTTCTGCCAAATCCATCTGGGGTTTTTCTCCTTCATTTTCACCCCAGAGTATAATGAATAAGATACTTGTGTCGAATTTGTCCAGCTTTTTTGACAGCAGTGCAATTGAAAAGCAGGTTGCTGTTTGGAGGTTTTGGTTGTTAAAAGGCAGCTTGGGAACTCTGGCCTTGCTTCAGAATCTCACTGAGCTCAAAAGGAAGAGTCTTACTAATTCCATAGTGTCTGATGTGAGGACTGGTGATAATACCATTTGCATTTCACCTTGCATGTCTGAGGTTTATTCTTTTCTGCGAAGCTCGCTCTGATCACTGAAAAGCCACAGAATACTTTTTGGAAATAACAATTTTTATGTTCTTTTAGTCCAGTTGTACTTTGTTATAACTAAGCCTACGGAAAATACCTAGCAGGGAATGTTAAAACTTAATTTGATTATATAATTTCATCTCTTTCTGTCTCTAAAATATATTTGTGTGTATTAAAAAACCAAAACAAACCCAACCCCCCAAACCTACATTTTTTAATACTAGCATCAGTGCCTGTCACATTTTCCACTTGATTGTCCTCCTCTCTTGTTAAAGACAGTGAACAAAAGTTTAATTTAAAGTTCGGTTCACTGCTTGGACGTAATTTAGCAAAGAGAGGAAAGAGGAAGTTCTTTTCTTCTACTTGGCATTTACCCTTCTTGTTCTATAGATCTAATCAGTGACAGCATAAATCACGTGAGCAGGGATTTGCTGTATATAGGTATGCTTCTTCTGTTGAGAATCTTGATATCCTGTTATCTTTTTCTCATATGTGGATTTGAGGGGCTTTCTGAGTAAGAAGACCTTGAAAATAAATCAGTTCCCTTTTGTGAGGGGAAAACAGCAATCAAATGAGGTAGTAAACACATTTTTCTAACTGCCTACCACACGCTGCCGTGAAAGACATTAAAAACCACAGTTGTGGGTTTTTTGGTTTCTAATACTTTCTTGAATTGCAAGAAATAAAAAAATCAGCTTCTTCCACTGGTTGTGGCAGTCAATCACCTTTATCGCTATTGAAAATGAAAACTCAGTCAGTTTTTTCCAGTAAGTAGGTTTTCTTCAAATACCCTGATAAATAATTCACAGTAATAAGCATTGTAGTCAATTGATACACCACTTCAAGATCTTTTACTGTTCTTAAAATACAAATTTTTACTTTTTATGAAATCACAATTTATGAATAGCATAGTGACTGTTTATATTAACAGTTTGTGATTAAAATGTTTACTACGAACTTGCATTAGTACACCGCTAGTATAGGGCAATGTCATAGTTTACTCAGAATGTCTGTGTAACATTAAGTTTAATGGCTTTGTTGTCCACTGTGAATTGACATTAATAATGTACTCCGTCTGCTAATGGAGTGTAAAAGATGAAGCCATTAGGTGGGCTTGACAAATTTCTCTATGGTATTGTTTTTCCTTTTAATAAATACAGATGAAGATCTAGGTTTTTAAACACAGGATGAAAATCCATCCAATGCACGATAAAAATCCTAAATAGATAAATCTATCTAGCGACACCTTTCTCCCAGAAGCACTGACTTTTTGGATTTATGCCACTGTGTACTCTTAGGAATTTACTTAAGCTTCCTGACCCTCAGTTTTCCCATCTACATAATGATGATAGTAAACTTTCTGCTTTTTTTTTTTTTTTTTTTTTTGTAAATCTGAAATACACCACCTTCTTCACCCATCTGCCCTACCTCCTTGTCTCCCAGTTTTCACAGATTCTGGATAGTTATTGTAAATTAGCCTAGAGCTAAGATGCATGTAATTACATCTTAAATATTTAATTGAGACACGTTTGTTGCTCTTTTTTTGGGAGAGGTGAATGTGTGTATTTGAGGATAAAACATAGGCAATAAAACAATAAAGGAAAGGAAAATAGCAGGTAGGTCAGATGTTGGGCCTAGCTAATTCAGCTAGATTGACTTAATACTTATCTTGCAGGATGAGATGCAAGCTTCAGCTGGTTTATAAATACTGAGCTAGGCTTTCGAACAGTGCATTCTTTTCAGCGGAATATTGTAAGAAAAGGTTTGACTACACTTAATACAGAGGCAATATTTAACTTTTAATAACGTGATTGGACTTTGGCCTAAATTTAAATTCTGGCTAAATTTAAATTCTGTGTGCTACAGTTTTATAGGATTATTAATTCTTTTAAAACAAGCATTTAAAAGCTCTTAACAAAATACTCTTTGTGATATATGGCACAATAGCACACGCTGCTCCAGGTGACAAGAAAATGATGGAGGCAGTGAACCTTAAGGAAGAAAGTGGAGTTTCCTGCCCTGATCTTAAAACAGTAAGGGTCCTATACAGAGATTACTGTGCAGTGCAGGGAAATGTAAGCCATAAAATGTGCTCTTGGTATTGTGATCCCATTGCAACATGTGATTGATAGGGTTTGTGATCATGATGATTGAAGGAGAAAGATCAGGCCTGCTGGGCTTTACTTGCTCTCTTCCTGTGTTTGTAGATTCTCTTGCATCCTGTTGTAAAATATTATGACACCCCCTCCTTTCCTTTTATGTTTTTTTTTTTCCCCTCCCTTAAAGACCTAAAAGGAACTAACGTCTCTTTACAAGGTGTACTGCACAGCCAGGAGCTATGTACTTATCTCATTCTTTTCAAGACCCAGACAGAAACTTTCCAAGACACTTTCCAAAATTACTCAAAACTAGACTTTCTTAGGGAGCTTTCTTTGTGCAGGAGGCGCTGTTAATTCTCTGTTTGTTTGAAATACATTAGTCATTTCATATTAACCTTTCAATATCTGCACCTGCAAAAAAGGCAAGATTTAAATAATTTTAAATTATTTATCAACAAAATTCTTTGTTTCATTTGGATACCATTTTATTATTAAATTAGAACAGTTATTTTATTTACAGATGTTTCGTTCTTTGTCACTGTGTAACAATGCTTAACTGTTACTGGACTGTAAACTGAGAGCAATAAAACTGTGTTTTACTTCTGTTTATCACAGAATGAGGCTTATCTTGGTCACCGGTTCCTTTAGTTTCAAATAAAGATGTGTTATTGACTGACAGAAATATTTATTGTGATTACATTTCCTAAAGGGAAAAATATATCCAATAGTTTGGGTTAGCCGAAACCATCTTAAGTAATTTCATCTTATGTTGCAGCTAAGAGATTCACCTTTATTTGGTGCATTAGCAGGTAGTGGAGGTGCTTTCATAATACTATATTAAGGTAAACATCATACCAAAATTTCTGAAATAGAAATTTTCTCTGTTTCTCGGTGGCATCTAAAGTTGGTTTCTAGTTTAGCCATTTGCAGTGTTGTGCTCTACAGGAAGGAGGGTACTTCAACATCGTTCTTACGAAGTAGCATCAAACTGTTAACTTGATGTGAACAGGGCTCCCTTAAGAGTAGCACAGAAATAGGGAATCTCACCATCTCAGTGCTTTATTAGGTCCCAATTTTTTCTGCCAGCTGTGGTCTAAGAATCTGGTTGACTTCTTTTCATGTTGGGTGTTACCACTGATGGTAAGGTTTCTTCATGTTAAACTAAATTCTAGACTGCGATTCCATTGTCTTTGGTGGGTTTGTACAGCTGCATTTTGGGGTTGGGGTGTGCTGCTGACAGGGTCCAGTAAATTTTCTGTCTAATAGAAAAGGAAACATTCTCTTTTCTTAGTGGGATTCATTGCAAAAGTACGAATGGGTCATGAAAAAAAAATACTTATTTTTATCTTTCAAATAAACAGATAGAATGATACATGTACAAATTTCAAAAGACTTCTCAAAGAAAGTGCCGTTTGTATATATCTAAATGTTAGGAACATGTAAACTTCCTTAAGCCTTGAGAATGCCAACTTGTTAATGTACGTAGTCTCAATTCACTTTGAAGCATGTCGGACTGCAGAAGCTGTACAATGTTACTTGTACTGCACACAACCAACCCAGTTGTACTTTACTACAAAACGTTCCCCCACGTTGGAGATGAAATGGTCTTGCTCACGTGCATCTGATATTTGTTATATCCTGAACACAAGAGCTGGCATTGGCAGAGAGATCTGTAAAACCTTCTGTTTCAGATACATGCAGGTACAGGCTAGTTTTCCACATTACAATGTGATTTTTTTTTTTTTTCCCCTGTTCATTGAAAATGTCCCAATACGTGGGATCTCTGTTTCTTTTTGCCATTTTCTTCCTTTCTTTTTTTTTTTTTTTAAACTAACGTGTCTATTGTAAAATATATTGAAATGTTGATGTTCCAGTCAGTCTAAAGAAAATTCTTTTGCTTGCTCTATTTGTATATGGAAAAAGAATTATAAGACGGTCTATTTAATGGGGGGCCTGTATAATTACAAAAGAAATACTTTCTGTGTACTTATTAATTCCTGCTATAAAATAATCACAATGTTAAATTACGTTCTTATATTACTAACTGTAGGCCTGGCTTGTGTACAAACCCAGATGACCTCTGACTCTGTACTGCGTGGTGATCTGAATGGCCAGGAAACAGATGCTGTATTTATTTACTCCCTTTCCTGCAATGTTTTAATGAATTTAGCTCTTGTGAATAGGCGGAGGTAGCAGAATCAGGTCCTCTCCATTTCCTGTCCCATAGTTTTGCTCCTTTGGTGAAAGGAGTCTTTGTCACTAATTTAATGCTTTTGTTGTTGTTGTTACCCTTGTTTGCAGAATCAAACGGACAGAGTTGGGCTTGCTTGGTTGGAAGGATTATGTCGTAGTTGCACAGCTTTGTATACAGACTAATTCTAGGGGTGTTTTTTTTCTTCAATATGGCAAGTAGTTAGGAAAGATTTTTTTTTTCTTTTTTTTTCTTTTTTTTTTTTTTTTGAGTTGTTGCTTGTGCCTGGCTGGTCAAGTCTATTGAAGTTGGATCTGATTATTCTGCTTTGCGTGTTCGAATGCTGGATTGTGTTACAGTTAAGAGTGCCATCTTGGAGTCAATACCACGAATCCATATTTGACTTGTCAGATGTAAGTTATTTAGATTCTGTAGAGAGATGAGGGATTTGGGGTATGTAAATAGGTAAGTGCTCTCGCCCTTTTGTAAGAAACATGCTGCTATCAGAGAAAGGAGCTTATTTCTGATAGCAAATGTGGTTTTCCACTGTGACTCTGCAGTGGCGATATATAGAAAACATTATTCTGAGTAAGCTCTGCTGAATATTCCTTGATTTAAATAAGTTGTTTTTCAACAGCTAGGCTTTATTCATAACCCTGTACAAGATGCATTTCTTTGCCTTGAATATAATCCAGTGTATGTCTTTCCGGGCTTCCCTATTTTAGGAAGCAGTTACAAGTGAAGTTGTGGCCTCATGTCGATATGGACCACTTCAGGAATTTATTTGTGGACAGAGGTCCACCTTCACCCAGGCACAGTATAGACTTGCATTGGTCTGAAATTAATTTGGACAATATTATCCTTTTTTCTACGTGACACACAAGTGTTTTTATTACAAAGCTGCCCCGCATTTCCTTGGAAAGCAGATATCTGTCATTCTTCCATTTTTTTTGGTCAGCGTAGCCAGTGCATATGTTGCACAGCTGTGTCCGTCCCACTTCTATTTTTGTTTGGGGCCACTACGTTATCAGGACAATTGATTTATTAATGGTGCAATAAATAAGGATGAGGCTGTTCATCTAAGCGATGTTTAGCTTTTTAATGCAAGTTTCTGCAAAGCATGCACTATAAATGAATTTGTTACAGGAAAGTGACTCTGCATGCTCACGGGGTGACCAGTGTTTTAGAAGGTGGGGTCATATTGTATCATGGTCTTACGCTTCATTTACATTCTAACCTGTAGAGGCAATTACTGAGAAAATACACCTGTAATGGCTTTCCACTGAAGTTTAGCATTTCTATTGCAGGTTGCCCCAGAAGAATTCAAGACCAGCATCAGTCGCGTGAATGCATGTTTAAGAAAGAATCTCCCTGTCAATGTAAAATGGCTGCTTTGTGGCTGTCTGTGCTGCTGCTGCACACTGGGCTGTAGCCTGTGGCCTGTAGTCTGTCTTAACAAAAGAGTAAGTACATGTTTCATTCTTCTTATTCTATTTATTTTGCAATTACTGATAACATTGAATTATGTTTAATAGTATTATCCCCATTTCAAAACCCTTTTTTTGTCTCACTTGCATTCAAAAGGTTATTCCCTTTTCCATTCCTTAGAAAACAGAAAAAATGTTTGTTAATGAAGTAAATTATACCAAATTACCAATTGAATTAATAGTCTTAGGAATAGCTAATCCCATCTCAGTTCAAAGAACAGGATGGAGTATGTGATAACCTAAATTTCCAGGATTTCTAAACGTCTAAGAATTGAATTAAATGAGTGCAGAACTGGACATTGACCTTCAAAGACCGCCTGAACTGCAGTGAAAATTACTTTTCCTCTTCACCCCCTCCTACCCCCACACACACCTCCGCATAAATATTTTTTTAAAATTAAAAATCACTTTTTTGGATGTAATAGTTACCATAACATTTCTGAGCTGTGGTTTATTTGACATATATTACTGTGCTGTTTCTATTAAGAACAAACACAAATTTGTTTTCTATTCAGTAAGTTTAAAGACTTCAGTTTGGTTTGGGTTTTTTTCCCCCCAACAGAAAATTGACAACTCTCTTAATCAGGTCCAAAGTAATAATTCTGAAAAGCACTTTAGCAATATCAAGTAAACATGATCCTAATTACCTCTATGGTTTACATTTAGAATTGATTATCACAGCAGTAAATGTTTAGGAAATAAATAAATAGGTATAGCGTAATGATGTTCTTTGCAGCTACATGATTTGTAATAATTGTAGCCATAAAATCTTATTATCCACAAATGTAAATAGTACGTAGGTGCACTAAGAAAAAAACCTCTCACACTTGTCAATTTAATTATAGCAAAAGATCTTAAGTTAAAAATCTGTTAAACAGTAATACTTCTGGCTTTTGAGAGTTTATGATCTTTAATAAAACAAACTGAAAGCAAAAACAAGCAATAGGCATTGCTTTTCAGAGAAGATAAAACAGAAGTGTTTTGCCTAACTTTCCAACTTGCTCAAGAAAATAACAGTTGCATTGAGTTTTTGGTTAAAAAAAAAATAATGAAGTGCACTAAATGCATGATATGTTAACTTGTTGAACTACTAATCGCTGAAGCCTACATCACTAAAAAGTTACAGGACTTGTTTTAGATCGTTTTAACTGCCTTTATAAACGTTCTTATTGCAGAGGAATACGCTTGAGATATACAGATGGAATATTTGCAGTTTTAAAACCGTATTTAATATTCTTGTGCTAGTGAAAATCTAAATAAATGCCCATGTGATGTTGTAGTATTAATATAATTCTCAAGGGTACAAATAATATGTATCAAGTAGGAGTAGGGAAAATCATGTTACTTCTGTGGGTATGTGTGTATATATATTAGAGCAATTTGATCGCTTTAACAATCACAACTATAAGATGGTTCTTAATTTTCTCTTGTGGTGGGTTGAACCCGGCCAGCAACTAAGCACCCGCCAGCCACTTGCTTACTCATCCCCCCCTGCCGCAAGCAGGATGGGGGAGAGAATCAGAAGAGCAAAAGTAAGAAAAACTGATGTGTTGAGATAAAGACAGTTTAATAAGCAAAGGAGAAAAAGGGAAGAAAACCCAAGCGATGCAAATCACTCACCACCCCCCACCAGCAGACCAATGCGCAGCCTTGTCGCTGGGCTATGGGCTACTTTGGAAAGAATAGCCCCCAGTTTTATTGCTGAGTATGACGTTACATGGCATGGAATATCCCTTTGGTCAATGCTGCTCAGCAATAGCTAAAACATTGATGTGGTATCAACGCTATTTTCGTCATAGATCTGAAACACAGCACCATACTAGCTGCTGTGAAGAAAGCTAACTCCAGCCCAGCCAGTCCCCATACACTCATCTAGCAACAAAGGGCATTATGAGATGCAAAGGCTGGAATATAAAACTAAGACAGTTGAAACAGGAAACAACATGTACTTTTTAATTCCAAGGATAGCTTCGTTGCTGGAAAAACTTACAAAGAAGTTGTGGATTCTCCACCATTAAGTCTTTGACTCAGGATTGGATAGCTTTGTATCTTTTTTTAATGAGATCGTGTAGCTCACCTACCATTATTAGCTTTAGCAAAGAAATTGGTGGATGGAATTCTGTGGCGTAGCATGCAGGAACTAGAGTAGATCATCACAGTGGTCTTTTTGTGACTTTAAAAATCACTGAAACTCCCAAAATCTTCTCCTCTCCCACAGCTGTGGAAAGAGAGAACATGAAGGTCCCATGCACTTTGTTATCCAAGAGTTGAAAATACAGGCACTGTTTGTTGTGAGCTGGAGTTCTGTGGTGGTGAGATTTTTTCAGGATTCAATAACAATTACATTAGCAAAATCCGGAAATTAGATGTACGTAAATTACGTGTTGTCAGTAGGCCACCTGTAGGGAGTGCAGCATTTGGCCACGAGAATGTGGGAGATTCTGGTTTGTTGGCTTGGCTGTGGTAGGCAAAAATACTAAATTCAAAAGGATCTCCTACTAAGTAAATGAGTTCTGGAAAGTTGCAGTCCTAAGTTAACAAAAAACCCGTGGGTGTTTTCTTTTTTTTCTGAAGAAGATCTAATGTTGAGGTGTGGGGAGTTGAAGTGGTAGGATTTCCATTTATAATTTTTCTTTTGCTTGGTTCTACTTTTATAAAACTAACTTATTTTAAATTAAGCTTAAGCCAGAAATGCAACAGTAAGATTCTTCTGGATGAGGCTGGCTACTGAACCATTTATAATACAGTTTTGACTTACTTTTTAGACTAGAAGATCAATTCAGAAGTTATTAGAATGGGAAAATAACAGACTATATCATAAGGTAAGAAAAGTTAGAGTGCTCGTTTTCTTCAGCTTTAAGAATAGTAAGTTTTTTTTGCATAACTGGCATGTAGGAATTTTGCAGTCTTGTTATAATTCCGTACTGTATAGTGATCTTAAACCTGTGTCTGAAGTGTTCCAGATCCTAATAATTTGATATTGCTAATGCTTGTTACGTTACTCATCAAAACAATGCTGTGCTATGCATTAATCCTTTCATAATTATTTTCTTAGCTTGGTTTGCACTGGAAGCTGAGTAAAAGGAAATGCGAAACTAGCAATATGATGGAATATGTGAGTATAACTTCTGTTATTTATTTGGTATTCAACATACCTATGATTTTATAGAGAAAATCCTTAACTAGTCTGTCACCTATCCAAAAAAATCTCTCAGAAAAACGTGCAGTTGATTTTGACATACACCCGTGAAGGCCACTTTTAACAAGAGCAGCCATGGCATATCTTGAGACTTAGAAATTGTCACCACTAAACATATTTTCTCTTCATAACAATTCTACATTTGCACTACAGGTACACTTGTTTTGGTCTGTAATTTGTAATGAGGGAGACCCACTGGGACGTTGTGCATTGGTGTGATTCCCGGTCACATAGTTCTTTAATGTTTATCCACTTTTTCCATTGGTATTCATAATTACTTTGATTCAAATTCTTTGTGCAGAAATATTGCATTTTTATAGTACTGTGTTTTTTGTCTGGATCTTTTTTTTTTCTTCTTTTTTGCTAGCTCTGAATTTCATAAAGTTTTAACCAAGACAGTCTGTTTAGGAAAGCAGAATTTCAAATATTTCTGTGGTCCTACTACTCCCCCATCCACTTTCATGTATAGCCATGAAGATTGTGTAGGCTTGAAGAAAAGAGATAGTCACCCCCAAAAAGTCAAGAGTCCAGAAGTCCTGTATTTCAAAATGACTGAAATCTCTGCTTTGTTATTCTGGGAAACGTTCCCTCCTTACAGAGTATCTCAGATATGTTTAGTCTTGTGTACTAGCTAATGTTGCATGGAAATTGTGCTGAAGGTTTGAACTTTTTGGTTACTGTGTTCTGTTCTTGTCTTTTTCCCTTCTTCAACAGGTAATATTAATAGAGTTCTTACCAAAATATCCCATATTTCGACCTGACTGAGGAACAGCATTTGAGCTTTCATGTTACCTGTCATTTTCTACCCTTAGTGCCTTGTAGATGATTTTGGAAAGAAGATGGTCTACTTTGCTGTGACTTAAAAATGTTCTTCAGTAGAATATCTTCCTTGCTATGTTACTTTCTTTTGTTAAGAAGAGAACAATTTGCACATTTTTTTTATGTTAAATGAGGCTTCTGTGTTGCACTCTGAATTTTTAACATTAACTGATATAGTTGCCACTAGGGATCTAACATCAGTGCTGCTTAAACTTGTTCTGAGCATGCTGCCTTATTAATTTCTATATTTGCTGTCCTCAAACATGCATCCTAATGCCATGTCATACTATATTTCATTCTAAATGTCCCAATCCTATAAACCCTCAGTAGAAATGTCCAGGTAAGCATCTAGTAGTAATGATTTTAGTATAACTTGCTTGCATAGGACTTGCAATCAACAGCACTGGTTTTGTCCTGCACTTTGCAAAATCATCATTTACATTAGGGGGTTAATTATTTTACCCACTATGGATTTGTAAATATTGACTCTTTGCATAATGTAAAGTGTGGTATGCCAAGGTTTACAGAATGTAATATAGCTCTAATTCTATTGCCAACAGTCCGACATCGTTTTATTCATTACATCTGCTAGTATCCCTCTGATTGTATAGACCCATTCACATGCTGTTTTTATGGTAAAGCCATAATGAGTTTGTACATACTATCAGATGTGTAGGGCTCAGTTGCACTTTGTTTAGTAAATGGATGAAAAATGCATAGCATTTCTGTCTTTTTTTTTAAAGTATTTCAGGTGGTGTTTGTAGCACCTGAAATAGGAAGCTTAAATACTGTTCACCTTTGAAAAAGTTGCATTTGTGGGGTAGATGGCAGCTGCTATTAGCAAAATACCCTAAAGCCTCTTTTTAAGTTAGGAATATATGGATGTCAAGTTTTGTTTTGTTTTTAAGTAAGGAAAAAAGTGTTTCATAATTGGAGACCTTCATTACTGAGGAGAAAAATTTGGAACAGCCAAATCAAAGCTGAAGTAACGCTTTCGTTATTTTTGTAGCGTGATACTACTGCAACATTATAACAGTTAAGTGACACGGCATCCTTTCCAGTGGAAATAAAATTTATCTAAATCAGAGTAGTGTTTTAAAATATGATGATAGGAGGAAGTGGATCAGTTGAAGGGGTTCATGCATATGTTTTGGCGTTCAGGCACAGTCTGAAGAGCCACAAATGCGTTGTGGAATTCACAAGTATTTTTGGATTCTTCCCTGTTTGCCTGATCTCAGGAAGGGAAGTAATTGTAGAAGAACTTCCTGTAATGGCTGGCCTGAGCAAGACCACTTGATAATAGTAAGCAAATGAAAATTGATGCAAGTTCCCTCCCTTTCCTAACTAGAAATAAGAAATCGGAATAAAAACAGCAGATGACTATCTGCAAGTTGTGATGAATATCATTGTAAGTGTCCAGGCATTTCTTTGCAGCAGCTTGACTCCTTGCGACATCATCCCAAGTTGCTTTTTAGTTTCAGGGTGACTTGGGACTTCCTCTGAATGTATTTGCATCTTTTCAGTATGCAATATTGTATTAAAATATAATATTTGTAAGACTATTGATTTCTTGTACGCAGTGTTTACAGAAGGCCAGTTTTATGCAAGTTGTTACTTCGAATCAAATTTCATGCTATTCTTACTGTACAGCTGAGGAGTGTCAGACTCCAGCGCTTGCAGTAGTTTCCAATCACAGACTGATGCTTCAGATTGTGAAATCTGTGTACTTAGTGCAGAGGTTTCATTTGACTGGTAGACTGGCGACAACTAACTCTGTAATTGCATTTGTAACATAATGAATAAAAAACTACTGTGTTGTTTGAATTTAACGTTAGCTACACCTTGCAACTCAGATTTCTATCACAGAACCAAGCAAAGTGTTCTCTCCAATTTATTTTTTTTAGGATGAGTGTTAACCGGAAGCAGAGAAAACACTTAATGGCAGAAGAATGCAGTGTAAACCAAAACTGAAATAGCACACCCAATTTTATGTATTTCCCTTACAAATAAGTTTCTGGAGTAAATGAAGGGAGCTTAGCTTAATTAACAGAACAATGGAAGTTTCTTACTGTTATGGCAGAACTTTGGTAGTAATTTCCTTTTTTTGTGTAAGAAACTCAAGGAATCTCAGCAGGTTCTTATTTTCTTCTTTATGTGACTATATTTTCAAAATGCTCTTTTTTCCGACTGAGAGAACAGGCAAGCCGAATGAGAGTTCTAGTAGTTGCCAGCGGTGAATGCTGAGCAGTGTTCAGTTTCGCTGCTGAAAGAAATCCTCTTCAGTCTGTGCTGACTTCATCGTATTCAGTTCAAAATTTCTCAACCTGATTTGTCTTGTTTCTGTGAAGTGCTGTGCCGAGCTGAGAGAATACCCTGAGCTACAGGAGCCCCCAGGCCCTCTGGGCTGCTCCCTGGCCACCCCGTGCTGCGATATGACCAGAGATCCAAGGCAGAACAAGATGGCGGCTTTGCTTTCCCACCCTCATCCCTTCATCCCCTTCCCGCGGGCCTGGCCACGTCCAGTGCCACAGGCTGCTCTGCCCGCAGCAGATTGTCTGCCCCTGGGTCTCTCCCGGGCACCGCGAGGCACTTAAGCACATAATATTAGTTTTTAAAGTTTACATTTTAAGTATGTAAATTCCAGACATTTTACTTTGTCCTTAATTATTAATTGTGTAGTCTTCAAACCATAAAAGGGTCTCTTCTTTTTGTGTTTTAGTAGGCATTTAAATATGTGGCCATAAAGCAACTAGTAAAGAATATGAGAGCCAAAACTGCCATTTACAGTAAACTCCATGTTTTAATAAGTAGATAAAATTTGCATTAAAATGCAAAACCAGCACACAGTATTATATTTGCATCTGAAAGACATAGGTTCCATAGCTTATTTAAAGATGAAGGCAGCTGTAAGTACTGCTGTGAACTCTCTGCACTTCTGTTCTGCCTACAGGTTCTTTTTTGCCTGGGCTATCCTTTGCTTTAATATAAAACAATTCCCCCTGAATGTTATCTCACGAGACTGAAAATCTCATTTCTGACAATAAGAAGTCAGCATGAATTGGTAAACCTATTTATGGAGGATACTTGTTAATTGGAGAAAGAATTTGTAGCAATATAACAGAGATTAATGTTAGCAAAGTGTAGTGGAAGTGCTAAAGAAAGTGCCTTGACTGGTTCCAACAAAAGAGAAAACATTGTGCAGAGAGTAAGGAGAAAAGGAACTAGTAACTATCAGTAGTGTGAGTTTGCAGCAGATTTTTAAAAGCAGTTACTGTCTACCAAGTCAGTGTTTAATTATTCATATAAACATGTTGACACTAACTTTCCTTTCTAGTTTTTAGCTAGCAAATATTTGGTTTTGTATCTAGGGAGTATGGAAGTTATCAAAGAATACTGGCAGAGCATGAAAGCTCTTACCTACTGATTCCCCACCTGCATCTGTGAAGTTGTTTTACTATAGGAGGGAAAAAAAAAAAGTGTTCTGAGACATGCACAGACAAGTCTAGGAAGTGTGGGTTCAGTTGTCGATGGGTGACTTTAAAACAGAAAACATTTTTGCTAAATCTAGTGTGGTCTTGATAAATAAAAAAAAAAAGTTCCTGTGCTTTCCTTGATAGGTACAGAACCCCATATGCAAAAACATAAATATATGTTTATTATTGTCCCACTGTGACAGTTTACTACATTTACTTGTCAACACACTACCATTGGAGCAATAAAAATGTCAAGCTATTTATATTCAATGTAAATAATTTATCATTTTAGCAAGTAATGTTATGTGATTCTTCTGCTTTTTTGTTTTGTTTTGTTTTCTGCTTTTGGTGTTCTTACAGTGTTGTAACATTACTTGTACTGCTTAAGAAAAGTGGTTTTGTTTAAGCTGTATGAAACTTTGTGTTCTTAACATTTTTATTATGTTTACAAGTGAACAGAAACTTTTAACTGCTTTTCATTGAAGAATTGTCAGCTCTTCTGTCTTGTTGTTTTCTCTTTTTTTTTTTTTAATTAAAATACAATTCTAACTGAGCTCGCTTTCTACAATTTACTGCACTGGCTTGTGCCATTAAAAGAAGCTGGAAGTCAGACATGCTTAATCACTTGGAGACATTTTTCTTTAATTAAATTTAAAGATGAAAACCTTTTGAATAGCGCAATGTGTTTATGGAAAAAAAATCTTCTGCGTCTCTCCCTGTAGCAGTGTGCAGATCAGCTGCGAATGGAACGGCAATAGTGGTGGGTTTTCTTTAAATGAGACACGTTTCTGGTATGGCCAGATCAGGTGCTTGTATTGGGACTTTAAGTGTGGTTTGGCTGTTTAAAGAACAAGACTTGGAAAGCTTAGAAGGCTTTCCAAAAAAGAAAACTGCAGAATGATCGCATTTCGTCTTCCAGATAATTTGGTTGGTTGGCTTACAGACCCTCTGTTGTAAGGACTGCTTGTAGGAGTCTCTTGCTGCAGCATTCCTCTCTGAAAAGCAGAGGGTTTTCTCCTATGCTATCGTAGTTGCACCTCAAAGGGAGCCTAACCTGAGCATGGGTCGTGTGTGTTAGCGAAATAAATCATTGGCTTACACAGAGGATTGTGAACGTAGGACAATGCAGCCTTTTGTGTGTGTTAACAGGCTAGCTTTGTAGCTGTGAAAGCAGGACGTTAAAATTAAAGCCTTTGGCTCATCCCTGAGGGAAAAATACTGCATTCCTGAAATGGGCATGTGCAATGTTTTTGTTGAAAGTTGGTGTCCTCAGTTGTTTTGGACAAATACGGGAGCATCTGGGTTGACATGCTGTTTAAGCATGGAACTGTTAACTGAATATTGTTTGAGAAATTTAGAGAATGTTACTGTGGTGTTAGGCCGAATACAGGAGCGTTGGGCTGAGTCAGGAAGTTAATCCCCTGTTAGGGTTTATGAGATGTAATTGCCTAGACAACTAGCAAAGGTCCATTTTAAGAATATTTGGGATTTGGCCCCGACTTCTACTATTGGAAGGCACTTTCAGAACTGCTCGGTAGTGAAGCTTACTATAATGTCTGTGACAATGTATTCATAATTCTATACATCTGTCATGTCAGTATTGTTCTTCAGCCTAAATAGTTGAGGTGTTCCAGCTGAGTTTATTTTTCTAGTTAAGCTTATAGAGACGTAAATCCTCTTAGTCTTCATTTGCTACACAAAATGAAATGTTAGTCTCCTCTCAAAAGCAAAGTTCTCTGTTTCTGATCATCCTGCTTGCATTTGCTTGCATTTATTGCAGTTTGAATTAATTTTCCTTGAATAGGGGTGACCAGAAACAATCGGATATACCAGATAATGGCTCATGGCTGAGGCACCAGGTATTTCCATGTAGATAGTTCCCTCTCTTCTGTGAAAATAATGTGATCCATTAAATTTAAAGGATCACATTTGTCTCCTTAATGGCTGTATTGTATTTCTGATTCGTAGCCATTCTGTGATAAATTTGGGACTTTGTCTCCTGAGTCACTTCTAGTTTGTACGAGCTCCCAACAGACACTCTCATTACTAGTCCCATCAGTCCAGACTTACCATTTGACACTTTATACTGTTGAATTTCTCGATACTTACATTACAGTGATCCTCCCAATCCTCCAATTCTTCTTGTATATGCGCTCCCATTCCTCCTGTAAAAAAATCTTTGTCACTGACTGATTCCATCTGCAAAGTTAACAAAAATGTTTTTACTAAAAAGATTCATTCCAAGATTGATGCCTGAATTCTGCTTGTAATTTTCTAAAAGCCCTTTTACTTAGTCCCTTACCTGATTTAAATTTTTCTATTATTTCCCCATCCGACTGAACCAGTAATTTCCTTGTAGTTTATCTGGTAGATCTAACCTATTTGGACTTGTTGATTTACACCTCTCTATTTTGTAAACATGTGAACAGGGCAGATTTGGGTCTAGGCTAAACTACTGAATTTTCTGCATTTTCTGTAATCAGTGGATCTGTTGAGAGGATCATCCTTTTAATATATTCACATTTTTTTTCATATGCTTTATATAAACCGTATGATCCATAGTAGCCTCCTTTTGAATATTAAATCAAAATTTCTGCAGGAAATAGCTTTAGATATCTAAGTTCACTGATAACAAATACGACCTGAGATTTCTGCTAGAAAAAAACTTTTTAAGAACACTCCGGGTCACCTGGGATATCCAAAATTGTAACAAAATTGGGAGGAGGAATTACAGTAGCTCTCAGACTAAAAAGAATTTAAATTAAAAGGCATATATTAAACAAAAGGTAATGACTGATCTGTATTTAGTGTAAATTATGTGATGTGCAAGCCTAAATGAGTAATTGAAAATTACTGGTTCTCCAGACAGTATCTGCAGGGATGTCATGGACATTGATGACAATGAAGCGTCTGAATAGGGCAACAAAAGTAAAAAGGGAGTTCTCATTTTGGCAGTATTGTAGACAATGCACTAACGTGCCTAGTGGTTGTGATGGGTGCCCAATTTGAGATGCTTTGAAGCCATCTGACTTGCAGAATATGGTCTATTAGGACTTTCTGCAAACAATAACATTATGGTTGAGTGCATAAAATGGCTCGGAGTGCCCAAATAATAATGGGAATGGCTAGGAGAAACCACAGCGATACAGTACAGCTCAGCAATGCAGGGCAGCTCATGAACTTAATTCCACACTAGTTTCCTACATACCTGAACATTTCATCCTTCGTCAAAGACGAATTTAGTTTGACCTTAAAATGACAGTCTGTTGGATAGTGAAATCTGCAGCCACAGAGGGTCAGTCCACATCTTAATCTGAGCTAGATTATGAAGTGCAAAATTGTAAAATGAAATCTAAGATGACAGTTATCCTAACTGCTGTTTCCATCAAAGTACAAGTAAGTTCCTTTCAAATCTAATTCAATTCCTATTGGGTTTTTTTTTTTTAGATAATTCTCAAGTGCTTGTAAGGTTCAAGTGCTGTTTTGGGACCATCTGGGGAAAAAAAAAAAACAAAACAGCTATTGTAAAATCTGTTAATACGCAACAAGAGTTGTTGGCCCCTGCTGAGGCTCTTCGTATGAGTGGCAATTTTCCACCGCTGTGTGAGTTAATCAGAAACCATTGGTAGTGTATGACCAGGGGATCTCAGGGGCCGTCTCTCGATGTACTTCGGGGGTCCTGTGGAACAGTTGTCTAATTCCTATTCCAGTTGCTACGGTGAGCATTTGTTCAGCACTTCTTTCCACCTGTAGCAGAAAGCAGGGGACAACGAGGAGGAATGGATCCTAGCCACGCTTGAACCACAAAGAGAAGAGACGCTTCCGAGGTAACTTTTTGATACAGTATTTTTTTTGTCATCGTTGAGTGCATGGAAGAGTTAACTTGCTTTGTTGTTCTTTATAATTTTCGGAAGAATTGAGGAGTGCTGAAAATCACATCGCTGTAAGTTTCCATGTAGTC